GATGTCATCAGTTGAGGTGAAAATGAGTGTTTCTCTCCATCTGAGAGCACCAAGGTGCAGTCAGTTGGGAGCTGAGCAGGCAGGACTGGCTTGGCCTGCAAATGGGAACGAGGCAGGAACTGTTTATGGAATCTACTTGGGGGATCTATTTACGTGTTGGGTTGTTTAAATGAAGGTCTGTGGAGCAGCAGGAATTCAAACAAGCAGACACACCTGCCAACAGAAGAACAACCCCCTCTCTGTGCTGGTTTTGGATTCTTGGAAACCAGGATGGAAAAAAAAAATTAAAAAAAAAAAAAAAAAAAAAGGAGGGAGGGGGGAGGAAATCAATTATTTACAGGCTTATCAGCAACAAAATAAGGGATCACAGAGCACGTGCAGACACTGGAAACCCTCAGTTCCCACAGAACATCCCTTCACCTTCCCTACAGGCACAACAACACTCCAAGGTGTCCACAGCACAACCAGCCAAGTGCCCTCAGAGCAGCCCAGGGACAGCCCCCTGTCAGCATCTGGAAACCATCAGAGCACACGAGCAAGAGGCTTTCCACGGAGCCATCACACTCCCCATATGCTGGGGAGAAATGGAAAGTTGGCAAGGAGAAATGTAAAAGCAGGGAAGAGGGGTGGATGACTTGTTACTAATGTACAGACTGGGAACCAACCAGCACATCTGACCTTTATTTTTCCTTTTTTTTTTTTTTGTTTTTTTCTTTTTTTTTTTTCAGTCAGGAGAGAAACGGAGCTATTTTTAAGTCTGGGTTATGGTGCACTTGTGTAGGGAAGCTGAAGGGAGATTTTAAATAAACTATGGTATGGACTAGGCTAGATCAGCTCTTCAGCCACTCTCCCCAAAGAACTACTTCCCCTCTCTCCCAGAAAACTGCCTGTGACCTCCACCAGTGCTGGCCAACATCTCTGAGAGCCTGCACAGCTCAAAGCAACTGTGGAACAGTGCTGCAAGAAGAAGGATACCAACACTCCTTCTCCTGCCCTTCTGGGTCTCCTCTTCCCCACTTAACACCCAGGAATCACTTTATCACGGGCTGATCCAGCAGGAAGATGATCCAGCTCACTGCACAGTCAGCGGTGCTGGCACACACAGAAACATCCTGGCCAGAAGAAAAGCCAGACTGGCTCTTCCAGCAGCTCCCTGGGATGGCTCAGAGTGCTGGTGAAAACTTGGGCTGTCTGTCCCAGGAGCAGCTCAGGGATGGACAGGAGGCTGCAGGACAGGTGACTTTTGCTAAAATCCAGAACCTGTGCACCATTAGGGGGTTGGCCTCCAGGATTTCCTCCCCAGTCACATTCCAGCACAGCCCAGCACGTGGCTGGGGAGGTAAAAGCGAGCCAAGAGGCTGAGCTGGCAGTCAGGAACACGCCACTGTCACCCCCAGCCAGCTCACCTTGCCCCAGCACAAAGGGGACAGCGGAGATGACTCGTCCCTCTGAGTCACAACAGCCTGCAAGTTGTGGGTTGGCTGCCCTGCCCTCCACGAGTCTCTCTCCCTGTTCCTGTTTACCAAGCAGAGATTGTCTAATGGGGAAACAGAGGCTGGGAGATGTGCTGACAAATCACCAGCGAACACAAACACGTTTTGGAGAGAGAAAGAGAGAGAGAGGACAAGAGTTCAGTGCTTCAAACACAGCTAAGGTTGAACTGTGAGCACCACGGTGATAAAAGCCTGAGTTCTTTGTGGCAGCTCAGGAAGAGAAGAGTCACAGACATTTCTGCCAATCTGCTCGTCCCAGGAATGCTGGAAGCATCCACAGAATCCTGGAGAGGTATGGACTGGAAGGGACCTTGGGATCTTCCTTCTGCCCAAAGCATAAATAACTCTGAAACTTCCACCAGGCAGGTTGAGGGCTCCCCCAGGCAAATCTGAGGACAGAGATGCCAAAGCCTCTCCAGGCATCCTGTTCTGGTGCACAACCATTTTCATGAGGAAAAATCCTTTCTTATGTCCAGCTGGCATTTCCCTTGCCTCAACTTGTGACCCACTGCCTCTTGTCCTTTTGTTCCAGCTGACAACACTCAGGAGACAAGCACACAATGGCTCAGGAATTAAGTACCCAGCAAGTCTTAAGACAAAACTGCTCAACAAGACTTTGAATGGAACCAAACGAGGGGTTGCTGCAATCCAACCCTTCCCTCTCCCAGCTCAGCCCATCCCTTTATTGACTCCCCTTCAATTAATGTCAGGGAGCAGAACCCTGAAAAAGAGCCCCCAGTTTAAAGAGAAAAAAAAAAAAAAAAAAAAGCAATTTCTGACAGTGACGTCAATAGATTAAATCACCACTAATTATTTTGATGTGGCCAGCTTTAAACGAGTTATCTCCTTTAACCAGCTCACCACAGGCCAGGGCAGCAGACTGTCAGCACCAGGGAAGGAGCAGGGACAGATGACAAATGCAAAGGCAGAACCCCACAGACCTGATGTGTGTCATCCTAAAGTGCTGTGGGACCACTCCCTGTGTGCTCAGCACAGACAAGGAGCTGAGGGGAGGGCTGGAATTAGAGATTGCAAGCTAAATTCACCTCTGCTCTTCGAGGATAAGAACCATCTCCCCCACCTCCCCCCCCAAAAAAAAAAGTAGCAGAAGTAACAGATCAAACCACTGACAGATCTGATTTGTTATGTGTCACCCAACAACCCTGTCAAGGCGATTTTTCAGTGGTAACCTCCCCTCTCCCAGAAAAAAAAACCCAAATCAAACCAAAAAACCACATACAAATATCAAACCCAGTAAATAACCACGACCTCTTACCAATCAGGACTAAACCCACCAGGACAGGGAGAGACCAGCACTCAGTACAAAAATTTCCAGTCATTTTTCTTTCTCTCAAAGGATCGTGCTTCTGTCTCAGGGCATGAGCAGTGGAAGATCCAAAGCTAAGAAAAACTGACCCAACTTCAGTTTCTTGCATGCACCCAATGGACTTTTGGATCCATCAGTAAAGGATTTTACTGATGCTGGGGCAGAAAAGTCCAAGGGAGAGGTTTCAAAAGTCATTTTATTTGCTCCTTTAGCAAAAGCACAATTAGGGGGCAGGTCCACTAAAGGGCAGGAGAGAGAAAGACAATGCAAATGAAGGAGCTTTTTTTTGCTTTGAGCAAAATCAATCAGAACTCCTCAGAGAACACCTCCTGAAATTCAGTGCACCCAAGTCATTTTTTTTTAAGCCTTGTTTTGAAACCAAATCACTCGCATTTCAAGCCTAAATGTGAAATGCCATCACCAGCTCCAGCAAGAGAAGCACAGGGAATAACATCACATGATCTCCATCTCACTACCCCACACAGCAGGAATCAAACACAACCATCTCCAGAGCAGAGGCTTTCCACTTGAAATAACCACTCTGGAAGAGAGCTCAGAGAGATTCCTCTCCCTTTGCTGAAGGGCTTCCAGTGGAGTTTCTAGTGACATGCTTTGCCCCTTCCACAGCTTGAAAACTTCTTTTCATTCCCTCAACCTCTTCTTTAGATATCTGGATTTTTACTCCTTTAAACCGAGGTCACCATGGTGGAATAAACACGAAAGAGCTTCCTCTGCCCCAGGTCACTGGTACAGCACACCGAGCCTCTGGCAGGGACAATTCAAACTGCTCCAGGTGAGACACAAAAGCACCTTCTCAGGTGACAGCCAGGCAGCAGCTACAGTGGAAATTCACAGCTAACAAATCCCCAGCACCACCACGGGCAAGGGAAAAGTTGGATCTGCCTCTACCAGCAAAACACCAACAAGGCACGGGAATGGCTGAGGCATCAGAGAAGCTCTCAGAGCCTCACCACTGCCCTGACTTCAGATCTGAGCTGTCAGCAGCTCCTGCTCACACTGCTGTGTGAACACACACGGCTCTGTGTCTCTGGAAGTATTCTGGAAAGTCACTCTGATTACAGAGTACAATAAAAACAACAATGGGCCACTAATGTGGAAAAACTCTGATCTTGGGAGACAAGCAGAAAATTCCACTGTCTCCCTTTAAGATTGATCTGGACTGCAGCGAGGATTAAGTGCTGTTCAGTGACCTTTGGTGATGTGATTTCTGTGGAAAATTGTCTTGAAGTTCACTGCAAATGATTTCAATTTTAGCAGTTATATAAACTAATCAAGGGCAGGGTTTCAAACACGGACGAGCAGTTAAACACCAAGTCAGTGGAGTGAAGGAATAAAGATGGTCCTTTCCCTGCATTTGCAAGGAATTCAGCCCAGGATCCACCTCTGCAGATAACCCAGTAATTACCACAGGCCCAAATGCAGCACAGCTTGAGATCCCTTACAAGTAGGACACTTCTCAGTTCATCAACAACAGCAAAAAAAAAAAAAAAAAAGCAACAGGAAGAAGTCGTCACTTTAATTTGGTTTTTAGTAGGAGCACTTGCTGCCCTTCCCCACAGCCCTTAAACTGGCCAGAGTTCAAACGCTGGCACTTGAAGGACTGGATTAATTAATGACAATCCCTCCTCCTGGGTGGCTTTTCCTTCCAGAGAGTTACACCTGCCACGTTCCTCCCTTGGCAAGGAACAGTGTCAGGGACATCCACACACAGGACGGGATGAGACCTTCACAGTGAGCAGAAATCACACCTACACCTGCAGCACAAAGCCAGACCTTGCTGGAAATGCCCCTTTAGTGCCTTCCCCAGTGCCCCAGCACTGCCATGACCACTCTTTACTGTGACAGCACCTCTCTGACAGCCCAAAATTAAGTCCAAGTGGCCAGACCTTGCCAGCAAGAGGAAAATCCATTTCAATTGGAACTGCCCTGGAGACCCAGAGCCCACCTCAAACAGCTCAGGAGGCCGCTGTTCAAGCGCCTCTGCCTCCAGTGCATCCCACCACAAGCACATCCATTGACCAGGACAACAAACCCTGCCCGTGCTGCACCTGCCTGGCTCCCCCAGCAACCACAAAAACCTTCCAGAAAAGGAGGTCAGAGTCCAGCAGAGCCGCCAGACACACACTCCCCCAGCCACTGAGCTGGAACGAGGCACTTACCCATCTCTACCTTTACTGACGATCTTCACTTCAAAGTAATAAATGCCACAGGCTGCAGGGATGGGGTGTGTGGCCCTGACCGAGGCAGCATCTTTGTGATTTTTACCGTGACCTGAGAAAGAAGAGAAATGTAAGTACGGAGGGGGATTCGGCCTCTCACGCACACCCCGATCTGAGGCCCTGCTGCCTGAGCCCGGCAGGGAGCTGTGCCTACACGGAGCCAGCCATTTAAAGCACACTCTTCAGAGGACCAGCACACACGGCCCTGCACTGCCACCAGGGACAACCCCCGCACGACCAGCGCTGTGGTTTTCCCTTTGTTTTCGCCGTGGAGTTCCCGAGAAAGGCCGTCAGTGCCACCTCTCCCCCTCCCCACGGACGTAATTTGAGGACCAGCGTGCACAGACAGAAGACAAAACCGATTACACAAGAGGGGAATGACATCAGTGTTTACTAACCAGGGAGGAAAAGGAATAATCGCTTCTCCACTGGGTGGGTAGGGAGGGCAGCTCCAGCAGCAAAACACCACGCTCCGGCCCTTTGGTGTAAACCCGAGCAGCCAAAGCCCCGGTTAGGCGGCGTGCCGAGGCCATCCGGCCCCTCGGCCGGGTTTTGAGCCGGATGACAGAGTAAACAGCCGGTGTGGCTGCACCGGGCCCGGGCGGGCGGCCCTGCCCGGCGTTATGTAAGGCCACACGCCCCGCCGGGGAGAGCCCCGGGCCCCAGCGCCTCCGCCCCGAGCCCGGGCAGCCCCGCCGGCCCCCGGGCCCAGCTCGCTCCCGCCCGGCCCCCGCCCGCGGGGCCCCTTCCCCGGGCCCGCCGGCCCCGCCGCCGGAGCGGCCTCCCCGCCGCGGGCCGGGGCCGAACCCGGCGCCGCCGCCGCCCAGCCCGGCACCTTTGTAGTGGACGCGCAGGTTGCCCTGCGAGAGGCCGATGTAGTTGTACTTGTCCTTGGGGCTCCAGGAGCGCGGCAGCGGCGTCTCGTCCTGGTTGACGGCGGGGTAGAGGCGGCGGAGGCGCCGGCTCAGCTCCTGCTCCTCGGGCGGCCCCGGCGGCGCCGCCGCGTCCCCGCCGAGCGGGCTCCCCGCGCCCGCCTCCGCCATCTTGGCCCCGCTTTGTGTCAGCGGGCGGGGAGCGGGGCCCGCCCGCGGCCGGCGGCCAATGGGCTGCGAGCGAGCCCACAATGGGGCCGCGCCGCCCCACGGGAAGTGGAGTCCGCGCCGCGCCCTCCCGCCCGCCGGGGGCGCCCGCCCGGACTACAACTCCCGAAAGGCCGCGCGCCCCAAGCCCCGTGCCGCCCCCCCGGCGCGGTGCGCGCTGGGAGCTGTGTCCGCAACCCGCTCCGCTCCCGTCAGCGCCGCCCCGCGCGGGACTCCCGTTCCCGGCGTGCTCCGCGACACGGCGGGGCCCAAGGGCCGCCCCGCGCCCGCGGGCGCCCCCCGGCCGCCTCCGCGCACCGGCCGGGCTGGGCCGCCGCACGGCGCCCGCGCGTCAGGCGCTGCGTGGGCAGCTATGAAGGCGCGAGAGGGGGTCCTGAGGGCGGGGACGTTGCCATGGCGACGGGTAAACGGAGCGCGCGGCGGGAGCGGCACGGGAGAATAAACCGGGAATAAAGAATAAACCGGGAATAAAGAATAAACCGGGAATAACGAACGAACCGGGAATAAAAAACAAACCCAGCTCAGCCGGGAGGGGCTCAGGAACTCGCGCCGGGAATACCCGCCTGGCCCGGGGCATCTCCGGAGGCTCCTCCGGCTCCCAGCTGGGTCCAACCTCAGCCCGGGACTCGCTCTGTTCTCCACTGCACGCTGCGTGATTTTCCCTTCCCTCAGAGAATACGTATATATTTATAGACTTTGCATATATATATATATATATATAAAAATCTATTTTTATATGTATTTTTCTGTGTATTGACGCTACAGTAAAAAACTTCAATTCCTGCTGTGAAGCCACAGGCAGCAGGAAATAAAACCAGATCCTTGAGCTGACTTATAGTGTGAGTTCACTCTCAGCTCTATGACACACATAATTCCACACCTCCATTCTTTCTCCATGTCTCTGCAATAACAAACAGGCCCCTGTCACCATTCCAAAGCCGTGACTGTCAGAACAACTGCAGTCCTGCTTAAGGGAAGAGCTGCAGCCTCTTGCTCTGAGTAAAGAGAGCTCCCCAGGGAGACACTGCAGGTGATGAAAACCACACAGGAGAAATTCCAATCCCCACTTCCATCCCTCCGAGCCCGGTACGTGGCTCCCAGGGGGAGCTGAGCCACAGGAACCCCCAGAGGCATGTCAAACACAAGCACCTGGCTGGCACGAAGAGCATCAGCACAAGCTGAAGGCCTGTCAGGAACGCTCTGCTGCAGTGCAGCAGCCCCTCAGGTGCCTGGCACAAGCAGCACTTGCATCGTGCACAACAAAACACAACGTTTTATTCCTCAGAGCTGTACAGGTACACAAAGGCAACATAAAAAATTATGGGCAGTCCAACTGGAGAGACCCAGCAGGGAGGGGGAAAGGCCACAGGAGCAGGGGACGTGGAACACCCCTCAGGCAGCCCCTGGGAGCAGACCATGAGCACCCCACAGGGGTCAGGGCTGCACCTTCAGGTCAGGGGATCACTTTGTTTCCACTCACAGCCACTGGAATCAGGAGCTTCCTGTACTCCAGGGGGAGGTGACGCTCTATCAGCACGTTCAGCGGCACCTTGTCCGTCACCAGCCCTTGCCTGTGGCCAAGAAAAGAGCAGAGAAGAAACAGAGCTGTTAGTGCAGAGTCCTTCCACTCAGCATCAGAGTAAAGCTTTCCTGCAGTGATGATTCTGCATTTAAGAGCTGAAATGCTGTGGCAGAGAAGGCACCAGACTCCTGTTCTCAGGCAGCTCCTCACGAGGTGCCGTGCACAGCACAGATTCCAGCCTTGCCCACACAGGGAAGCAGACCCAGAGGGTTCCTGCAGCTTCCCACAGAGCTTCCCCCTGCTCATCCCAGGGATATTCATCTGTACTGATCTCTACCAAAGCTCACTGCCTTTTAAATTCACAACCCACCTACCAGGGAATAAATTTTAGCCCCGTTGGAAAACACACACACGGAATGATGGGACTGAAAGAAACAGCTCAGTACCCAGCAGATTTCTGTAGTCACAGTTCAGAGGTGTTGGCATTTGCCAGGTAGTTTTCCAGCACACCATTTAGCTGAGTGGCATGACCAAAAAAAAAATCAGCATCTCCCAGTTTTGTGGAAAGGAAAAAGAAGAGCGTTTATTCACACTTTGCTTGGGAAAGAAACAGAAATACTGTTCTTATGCACGAACCAGCACTCCCAAAACCTCTCTACTTCCTCTTGCCCCTCCCACCACCATCATCATCATCGAGGGTAAAACCCCAATTCCAGGGATGCCCTCCAGGGACAGGTGGCCAAGTGGCATCATCCAGAGTCAATCACACTCAGTGTGCAAACACTCACTGCTGGTGCACACCCTGACAACAGCCAGGTGCCACCAAAGTACCCCCAGAACTACTGCAGGTTACTAAGAACCACCCCTTTACCTTCTCATGAGCATTTCTACATCAGCCATCTCCACTGTCTTCCTCCCTGCATGGCTGGTGTAAGCTTCCAGATCACTGCTCAGCTGCTTGAAGTATTTCTCAGAGCTGATGGGGGAGGATGAGGAGGGAAATCAAATCAGGCTGTGGACTGTGTGAACACACCAGCTTCTGCAGGGCAAGCTGCACTGGAGCTGCTCGTTGTGCAGGTCACAGCCTGCGAGGGGAAACTGGGGGAGAAGAAACTCAGGAACCCAGGAACAAAGCTTGGCTTCTCAGCCCAGGCTCCCTGGAACTTCACAGCCAAGGCAGGTGTGAAACAGCTGCACATCTGACAACCAGAACCCCTCCCAGACTTCCTACACATGCAGGAACAGGGGTGGACACCGGTCAGAGAGAAACCAGCACTGATAGTCAGGCTATTGGCTCTTACAGTGACACTGTTCAAACAATCCACAGATTTTTCTCAGGTGAGAAAAGAAGGAAAAAAAAATCAAAACAAAACACTAAAAAGAGTGGGAAGAACAGTTTGTTGCTACTTACCATTTCTCAACAATTTTGAATGCTTCTCTGGTCACTGGCATTTTTACAAAATAGCGAAAAACCTCCTTTATCAAACTCCTTGCTATTTGAGGCTCACGTGGCTTCCTCTGGGACGTTCCTGATCTCCCTGGAACTGCCTTAGGCTGCAGCAGCTGCATGGGAGACCTTTGAGGGAAATTGAAAATTCACACATGAAGGGAAGAAGGCTGGGGAAGAGGCAGAGGACGCCACTGGTAGTGGTTCTGATGAAGCACACAGCTTCACTGAATTTCTAGTTAAGATGGTACAAATGTTAATTAATTTAGAGTAAAGCAGGGGACAGGTTCACTTTCTGCCTCTAGGAGAGCTTCATTTGTGTGTCAGCACATGGCAACTGCACACAGCTTTAGGCTTCTGCAGTCAGTGCCAGTATGTCACTCCATATGATCAGCATCTTGTCATCTGTAACTCCCCCTCATCTGCAAGGAGTCTATGGTTCCAGAGTAGCTTACCATTGAAAAACTCCTAGGGAAAGCTTTTGGCCTTCAGCACAGGAAAATATTACAGGAACATTCATTGGAAATACTGAAGGCATCAGATCTGCTCTGCAAGATTCACTTGGTTCATTGCTGCAGCAGTGGATGATCCAAAACCTCCAGGACTCCTCACTCCCTGTGGCAGCTGGCAGAGCCCAGAGCAGCTGGCAAAGCCAGGCTCTGCTCCTCCCCCAGACCCACTCCTGCCAGGCCACTGCTGGACGTGGCTCAGACCTACCTGGGGGCAGCAGGTTTCTCCTCCCGTGGAGCTGACAGCAGTGGCTTGTGGGCTGCAGCACGGACAAATGCGGGAGTCTTCATGGAAACCTCTGGGGAAAAAAAGGACTTGAGGAACTGAACTCTCTTCTCAAGAGCTCCTGCAGCACCCAGTGCTGCTGCAGCAGCAGAAACCCAGCCAGCTTCCCCACAGGGCTGGCCCAGGGCACACTGCCTGTGGCCCCACGGCACCCTGAGCCAGCACAGCTGCTGTTGCTGCAGTGGCACAGATGTCACAACTCCCTCCAGCCTCGTTGGGATCAGCATCTCACCTCTTCTCTGCTGGGAACTGCCCAGGGCAGTTTCCTCCAAGTCTAGTCTGCACTGTCTAACTTCACTCTCCAACTTCTTCACTTCTTAACAAAGTGAGAGCAGGAAAGAAAACATTAACAGAACTGAAACATGAGCAGCTTCCTGTCTGGAGGAGGAGTGGCCACACAGAGCTTCTTGTCTGCAATGGTGGCAGCTTCCCAAACATCCCCCAAGAGCTCCGACACCTGTCCTGTTATAGAAGCCAAGCCCAACTACAAAAGGCTTCAGGTGCTACTGAGAGTTAAACTCTCCAGCTGGAAGGGTCAGAGATCTCTGGCTGAAAGCAAGGCTGCCTGCATCAGCTTCTCCTGAATAAACATCTCTGTGCACTGGAAGGGACCAGAATGCAGGGAAAGGGACTCATTATCCTGAGATTTCTGAGGCAGAACTGCCTCTGCTACTGCTGCAAGTTTCTTACCTTGACCTTCAGGGTGTTCACTTTCATCCTCAGCAGGCTCTTCCTCTGGATCATCCAAATCTAACACAATAGCCTGGTCCTCTAGTACATCTTGTTCATCATCTTCCTCCAATGGATTCATCCCAGATTTTTCAGATGAGGGGAGAGCATCAGAATGCCTGTCCAGACTTCTAGCTCCAACACCTTCGGCAGTCTCACCTTCTAGATCTCCAAAACAGGAGAAAACAGGAACTGAAACAAGTTCCATGGACAAAATTTCAGAGCACTCATAGGAATGAAACCCAACTTTCAATTCCTGACAACTCTGCCACCTTCCCATCTGCAAGGATTAGGGTTGGTACCCAAAGCCAGACAAGCTAAAGCACTGATGAAGCCTCGACTTTTCCCTCTGCTACATCCAGGTGTGCAGAGGCCACACAGAAAAAGAGCCCTCGGTAACGTGAAACCCATGAGATTTGAGTGACATTTTTATCTGAGCTCCTTTCAAGTTAACTTTGTTTAATAAGCACTTTTATCTCAAAAGGTCATATACCAAAGCCTTCACTGCTGGCTACAGAAGACCCAGCAACGGAGGAAAAATGACTTGGGAGATTCCAATTTGTCAACTCTCTCAGAAGGCCTCCAAATTTTTTCAATCTTTGCCTGATTCTGCAACTTCTACCAGCCTGGGGGGGGTCTCTGGCACCAGGGATAACCATCAGCATTAGGGGCTGTGCTCACCAGCCCCAGGAGAGATGTGGGGTCCAACGCTGCCCTCTGCCAGTCCCTCTCCTGCTGAAGGAGCCATTTCTGGTTTGTCTCTGCTGTCCTGTCCTGCAGTTATCTGCAATTCTGCCTCTCCAGCCAGTTCCTTCTCCAAGTGTTCAGAATATCCAGCACTTGCACCGTGTTCTGCAGCTAAAACAGGAAATTCTATCATACATCTTACCTACAAAAAAAACCCCCCAATCAGCCACCAGCACACAGTTTAATAAGCACTGAAATGTCTTTGTGACAAGCAAACTCAGCCATGAGCTATAAATTAGGGAAGCAGATGCAGTTTCCTTTACAGCTGAGAAATGCCCAACCTCTCCTGTGTTTGCTTTACAGCCACCTAATTAGGGAGCACTCAGATCCAAATGAAGAAACTTTATTTACTTACAGCAAGCAGAACTCTTCCAGATCTGCCATTTCTACAGTCATTCTCACTTCTGGTGATTGTGTGAAAGACCAATTTCTTTTTCTTTAAGTCTAACAATATCTGGAGTTTGTGCTCAGATTCTCCTCCTCATCTCCTCAGTTTTTCTGAATAAACAGCTTTGTAAGAGATAAATTCCATAGTAAAAAGAAGAATGCCTAGCAGTGGTTTTAACCATCCCAGACAAGCCTCTGGCAGGCAGGATGAGGAGAAATAAATGGACACTTGACTTGCATGTCTTTAAAAACTTTAGCTATTGAAGTGCCAAACAGTACGTAATTATCCCTTTTTCCTGCATACCAAACCTGTAGTCCACACAGCTGTTACCATGTAGCTCAATTCCAGCAGAAACCAATTCCAGAGTGAATTCCACCATTCACTCACACGGGTAACTTGGAGAAATTTGGGCACTCTCATAATATTGTCATTTGCTGAATGGTTTGGAAATCTTAGCTGAGTCCAGAACCAGAAGCTGTGAAAGTGGATTTTTACCACCCTCTCTTCACTAACTGGGAGTTTTCACACTCAAAAGCACAAGTGTGTCAAGGCCTGGGAGCCCCAAGCCCAAGTGAAGGGGACAAGGAAATCTGGCCAAAGGTGGTGCAGAAATCAGTTATACCAATCTCAGTAACCAGAATTACTGGGCTGCCCACACCAATGCAGGGCCTGAAGTGAAGTGAAATATTAACTAGCTCTGTGATGAAGATGAAAGCTCAACATGACACTAAGCCCCCTTGGGCAGACAGGCGGCAGTGATTCTCCCACCCTGCTGGATCACTGCCTGGATAACAGTGGAGTACCAGATGCTGCTGACAGATCCAAGCATAATTTTTACTGGTTTCTGCACCTGCTGCTGGTAGCAGCACCTCCTGTGAAAATGAAATTCAGCAGAACGCAGGAACCTGTGTCCACACCTCCCCAAAGCTTTATGTGCTGACTGGGTAACACCAGCCACCCCCAGCAGTGTTTTTAAAGGCTAATTCTAAGGCAAAGAGAAAACCAGAAATGTGCCTGTGAAAGCAGGAAACTTCCATGACTTGCTGTCTTCCAGGAACAGGAGATACTAAAGCCCAACCTACCAGTGACAGCCTTTATTATTTAAGGCAGGGCAGCCTTCAATGCCTTAGTTTAAGGGCAGAAAATGCTGGTTAGTCCTGGAGAAGGATAATGCCCAACAGGGCCTAAATAAATACAGCAGAGCAGTAAAATGTATACAGTGAGTGATCAGCCAGAGGTATTCCCAGCCAAGAGGGAGCTCTACATCTTTCCTGTGGGAAGGTGAGCAGTACTACAGGCCTGCCAAAATACATGAACCTTCATTCCACTTGCAGTCCCAGTGAACAAAGCAAATACTGGCAAGGAAGCACATGAGCAAGTCACAGCCCGCTTTTAGGAAAGCTTATCTAGAAATGCCCAGTGTCTCTGATATGACTTGAATTAAATTATCTCCACCATCTACTGCACAATAAAGTCTTACTTTACTCTGCAAGTCACCTGAAAAACCCTGAATCAGATTATACTTCATTGCCTTGCAACACTGAAGGCACTTCTTACCCTCTCTGAAAAGCTTTTCCTGTTCCACTCCATTCTCTGTATTAATCATCTCTTCTTCTGAATCACTTACTTCTAGATCTTCAATTATTTGGGACACAACTTCTCTCAAAGACATGCTGGAAGAATTTAGAGTGACTGGGGATCCCAAATATTTAGTTGAACTTCTGGATGACAGAGAGGAGCTCAATCTACAAACAGCTAAAACAGAGAATTAATGTGTCCCCAGTGTCTTTTTAAACTTTCTTTCAGCTTTCCTCAAAAAAACACAGAACCAAGCAGGGAGAGAAAGACACACGAGAAAACACTCTTCCTCTTCTTGAAGCAGTTTAGAGAGTTCACAGTGCATCTTAGGAACCAGCTGGAAAAATCCTTGCAACCATTTTTCAGTTCACCCTGAGGAGCAACACTGAGAGCAGCCTCCTTTGGTAAAACAGAACTAGGTCACCATTAACATCTGACATTATTGCCTTCCCAACTCCAGCATCTTTAAGAGATGCTCACTCCCCCTCATCTTCCTCTCATTTGACCCAGTCCCCTACTCCACATCCTCCACGCTTTTCTCCACATTATCTATCCCTTTGTCCTAAAAACGCCTCACACTGGACTCCTCAAACCCTTTTCTGTTGATGCCTTCCCTTGTCCTTTCAGAACAACTTTTGCCTGGTCCAAGAAACATGAGGAAAACATGTTCCCATTTACACAGCCAGGACAAGGTATTTCCAGGGAAATGACTGAAGAGAGGTACCAGACACCAGGGAAAAACTGGCAAAGCCTTGGTACAGAGCGACCAGGGAGGCTCCCACCTCTGTCCAAGGCGTTTTTAAAGCCCAGGAGACAACAAAGCTATGACAAGTAAGTGACCACACCAGAGTAAAGGTCCAGACTCATCAAGTTCCTGAGATTTCTTCCACGTCTGTCTACATGTCCTACATATTAAGCCCAAATCCTACTCACGGCCAGCCACCTCCTCTTCATCAACAGCAACCTGCTCCACTGGGTTACTCTGCTGGGAATGATCTTGCTGATCTTCCTGCTGGTTTGCAGGTGTCCCTGGAGATACACGAGTCATTCTGTCAATGTGCTCCTGATCCAGGCCCGAGTTCTCGGGATGTCCTTGTGTCCTTCCGTCGTCTGTGCCCGCACCAGACACCAGACCCTCCGGCCTCACTGCCTCTTGAGCTGCATCACAAATCTCGCTCCTCTGTGCTGGAGTTTTTGGATCTGACAGCTGGGGTTCAAGAACAGGAGGTTTATTTTGGCTCTGTTCATCCAGCTGGGGCTGAACAAAGAGCTCGGTGTTGTTCAGCACGATCTCTGTGTCGCTTGTCATCATGGTTGTTCGAATCCCAGACGCAGACTGTGAGTCCACAAGGTAGTTCTCTGTTGTTCAGAAAGTTTTAAAACAAGGTTTAAGTGAGAAACTGTTCAAGGTCACAGGCACACAGTTTATTACCAGGACTTGCATCATTCTAAATTTAAAGCCATTCAATCAAATCCTACTCGTCCTCAACAGATCAAACACTGAACCTCTATGGCCCCACTTCAGTGCCCCCAACCTTCCCTACCAAACTGCAGAAGCCCCAGTACCCACAGATGAAGATGATGCCAAATGATTCCTGTGATTTGAGTCACCCACCTAGGAAAAGCACACATTTAAGTGCACAGAATCAACTACAGTGGTAGAGCCTCGTTCTAATCTCAGTTCCCAAATCACACTCTATCTCTGTGAGTGTGATTTCTATTACAGGCCACGCCTGAGTAACTGAGGCCCTTCCTCCCAAAAGAGAAATAACAACACCAAAGGAACCTTTGTTCTTCAGCATGTTCTGTTCCACTCCGCCCTCAAAAGCTTCCCTGTCGATGGCTTTGTGGTTCCTGGGCCTCCGGAGCAAACCCCTCTTTTCCACAGTGTCCGGGGCCATCAAGGAGCCAACAGACATGCGGAGGGACCTGTGAAAACAGGAGGGCAGAAATCATCTGTCAGCATCACACCCCCTCAGACTGCAGGCACGATGGCACTAACAGTGAGACACGTGACAAAGCCAGGAGGAATTTGCTAAGAAACTTTAGAAGTCCGGAAAATACAGCATAGATGCAACTGATGTGACGAGACAATTAACAGGCAGGGATAATATTTTAAGGTATGTATGTGTTGGAAACACCAAGACCAAGCTGGGCATGCAGAGCAGAGCCACAATTTCTGTGTGTGGGGCAACGCTTTCAAATTCCATCAGCAGAGGGGGATGGTTTTGTTACTGCTAACACAGGTCTTTATCAGGAACCCAGGTATCTGCACTGTTCTCCACAGCTACAGGTGTGATCAGTGAAAGCAGCTACAGCCAGGACAGCCAGAAGTTAAGACATTTCAGATTACTCACCGAAACATAACTGTGTTGTCCAGCGTTGACTGAGCTAGAAAAAGTTGGTGACACATTAGTGAAGAAACTACTCTCTACACACTGGGCTACAGGAACACCCCAAAGGACCCTCCTCTGTGCAGAGCCAGTCATGCTACAATCCTCACTTAGGTGCAAACACAATCAGATGACAGATGATGTGTTAGAAAGCTAATGTGCAATTTCTGAAAGAGTGGGAAAGAGTTATTCCAAGGAAAAATTAGCATGGCACATACCCTCAGGTTCAGTAATTTAAATTTTAACCACATTCACAGCAAGTGCATCTGGAGCTTTAGAAATACAGACAACTACTCCACTGAAACTGGAACTCAGGTACACACAGGCACAGAGTCTCTAATTCAGAGCTGAGGTACCGGTGTCTGAATTCCTCCCTTGAATTCTGCTCCAGTTGCTACTCCAATAGGACACATACACTGAGGGGAGGTCTTTTATCTGCCCCTGTCAAACTGCAACTAAAATGAAAGTTGTGTTTGCCACATTTGCAAATTTATGTTTAAGGGGAAGACTCAGTCCAATATGGAACATTATCTTTTACAAACTATGAGATTTTATTTTCTCAAACAAACACTTTATAACTTATTTGATATAATTGCAGTGAAAGGTATGCAGCTGCTTGTATTTTAAAGTTTTTGGAATTGAGAGGAAGTCGGGGGTTGCTTCCTTTGGAGACGCTTCAAAACTCAAAAAGCACCAAATTGCAAAGGTAGTCAAGAAGTTTACAAACAACCAGGGCAGAGCCTGGAACTCGGCTCAGAAAGGCTTACTTTAAATTTGACAGAAGGGAGGGGGGTTTACCTTCTCCAATATCCCCTCTGCATGAGACACTGCAGTCAGGATTCCAAACCTACAACTGCCCAGCTGAGCAGCCCCAAACAACTGCACAGGACGAGGTGAAACCCAGTTGGCAGCAAAGGCAGCACTGAACAAGGTCATTTCTGACTGCAGCCTTACCTTGGTTCTGGACAAGCCGTTTGTCTGCTGCTCTCTCGAATTCAGAAATGCTGAGTTTCTTTCTCTTCTTATTCATGTGGAACACAGTGATGGTTGTGTCCTCAGCAGCGAGGTCTGGCAGCTGCAGTTCCCCCCTGCCAAAACAAACCAAGCTGGAGAGGCATTTCCGAAATTCCCACCTGGCAGGATGCAACTCTGATCACTGAAGCAGAAGGAGAGGAGTCCTGCTCCCCAGTCCCACCACAGGAGCTGCAGCCATACCTGGCATGTAATAAATGTAAAAATTATATATAGATATATATATATAAAAAAATCACTTACATGCTGGAAACCCTCTTAGATGGGAGTTCTGGTCGAGCTTCTTCCCTGTCTTCATGGTTAGATATCCGAGGTACCAGAGGTGAAACCTGGGGCTCTGCCAACAAACCAAAACATTTCATTTAAACAACTCAATCCAGCAAGAACACCAAAATGCAGCAGAGTGTCACATCTACACCACGGGCTGTAAATTGCATTTACTGATGGGTTAAAATAAAGGCCTGGTGAAAACTGTCTGGGTTCTGTTCCTGGCAAGGCTGGCAGTGACAAAACCAACCGGGACAGAGATGGCAGCACATCCTCTGTAACTCACACCCCATCCTACAGCCAAAGGAGCACCAGGATTATGTGCTCAGTCACCAGGATAAGAAGAGCAAGGGAAGAGGATTCTGAAGGATGATGATTTCACCAGTGCAAGGCCTGGTCTTTCAGACAGTTCTGTCCCAAGATCAGCTGCCACTGCAGGGATTCCTCTCTTGCATTAATCAGTCACACAACGGTCTGATTTCTGTTCCATCTAACAGGGTGTGGATAATGGGCTACCAAGGGACGACCCTTGCTCTCAACTCCACCAAATCGCTGTCTTTCTGCTCTCAGTTCTAAAAAATAAAGATACTTACGGGTCTGGATAACTCTCTTGAGCATAACCCGCGGTGTGTCATTGTCAGCGTCTGGGAACACCCTCAGCCTCCGCTTCGCCAAGCTGCGTCTGCGAGAATTACTGTCGTTCCCTGGATTTGATCCGCTCTAGACAGAAATCAAGAGACAAGCAACTCAAAAACCGGTACTCCCACCGTCAAAGATCTCAGCACCAAAAGCGTCCACCATCCATCTTCTAACGGGAAATTTCCAAACTCCCAGAGAGAAAAGGTGCGCGTCTTCTTTTTGACATCGCCGGCACTCCACCGCCAGCTCAGCTCGGGGGGGTCACCGCGGCGGGTCCCAGCGCGCAACCCTCCCGCGGAACAAATCCCGAGGGGCCCTCCGAGCACAGCCGCGACGGGCCGGGCCGCTCGGCGAGCGCGGCACTCGGGGCCGACCGGCCCGTCTCCCTCACGGCAAAGGCGAGCAAGGGCGAGGCGCTCGCTCGCCCCTCGCCCCCAGCGCGACCGGGCGGGACAGCGCCTTTCGTTCCGTCCTTTCCCTCCCTCTCTCCCCCGCCCTGTTGTCCCCCCTCCCCGCACCCCGTGTCACCTGTGCCGTGTGGCGGCCGCCGCTCCTGAGGCCGGGCCGGGCCCGGGCCCTCCCGTCGGCCATGGCGGGGCGCGGCGGGAGCGGGGCCGCGCGCGCGCCTCCCGCCGCCTCTCGCGAGAGCGCGGGGCGCCCGCGGCGCACTGTGGGGCGGGTAGTTCCGCCGGCGCCGCGGTGCACCGTGGGCCGCGTAGTTCCGGGGCGGCGGCGGCGGCGGCGGCGGCGGCGGGGCCCGCGCGGGCCTTGTGGGAGCTGTAGTTCGGCGGGGCCGCTCGCCCCGGGCGCCGCGGGCGTCCCCCGGCCCCGCGAGGCCATGCCGGGCTTCACCTGCTGCGTGCCGGGCTGCTACAACAACTCGCACCGCGACAAGGCGCTGCACTTCTACACCTTCCCCAAGGACGAGGAGCTGCGGCGCCTCTGGCTCAAGAACGTCTCCCGGGCGGGCGTCAGCGGCTGCTTCAGCACCTTCCAGCCCACCACGGGCCACCGCGTCTGCAGCGAGCACTTCCAGGGCGGCCGCAAGTCCTACCTGGTGCGGGTGCCCACCATCTTCCCGCTGCGCGGCGTCAACGAGCGCAAGGCTCAGCGGGCCCGGCGCCCCCGCCCCGCCGCCGCCACTGCCGCCACTGCCGCGCCGGGCCCCGCCGCACAGGCCCCTGCAGGGGGCGCGGCCGAGGACGTGAAGCCCATCGACCTGACGGTGCAGGTGGAGCTCGGGGCCGCCGCCACCGTCGGGCCCAGCCCCGTGCGGCTGCCGGTGCCCGTGCCCGCGGCGGCGGCGGCGGCGGCGGCGGGGGAGGAGAGCCCGGCGGAGGGCGGCCCCCCCGACCACTCGTACTCGCTGTCGTCGGGCACCACGTCGGAGGAGCTGCTGAGGAAGCTGAACGAGCAGCGCGACATCATCGCGCTGCTGGAGGTGAAGATGAAGGAGATGAAGGGCAGCATCCGCCGCCTGCGCCTGGCCGAGGCCCAGCTCCGCGAGGAGATCCGCGAGAAGGACCGGCTGCTCCACGCCGCCAGCGCCGGCACCCGCAAGCGCCACGGCCTCTGAGGGCGCCCGGCGCGGGGCTCTCCGTGCCGGAGCCCCCGCCGCCCTCGGAGAGGGGCCGGGCCGGGCGGGGGTGGGATGGACCGCCGGGCCCTCAGCCCCCGGCCCCTCGGCCCCGGCTGGCGCTGCCCGGTCCCTCCCGCCCGCGCCGCAGCGGCCCCCCAGCCGGGCAAGCCCTCGCCATCGGACTGCCCTGTCTGGGCTGGATCGGCTCGGTGCCCACCCCGTTTATCACCCCGACGTTACCCCCGGTGTTGTCACCTCGCACCGGGCCCATCCGACCCGCTCTGTGCCGGCAGTGTCGGGTCGCGCTGCTCGCAGCGTGGCTGGGACCCGAGCCGTCACCGAGTGGACGCAGGGTATCAGTTTTCGGCAAACAAAGTCGCTCCGTGCCGAGTGAGGTGACGGCAACACTACCCTGGAGAAGGCGTGTCCGGCTGCCCGGGCACTGCACCCGGCATAGGAACGACCGGCCATGCCGCGTCCGGCCTCGCTCGGCGGAGGCACGAGGAAAAAGCTTTAGAAAACCCTCTCAGGGTGACGTGTTCCTTCAGTAAATTACTGATGCCATAACAGGCTGCTGTCCCTGGCGTGACAGGACCCCCGGATTAAAGAGTGCTCTCGTACCGTGTAGTTTCTGCTCTCTCTGCGCGTGTTCGTGACGTGCGTCTCGATGCTCTGGGCGCTGGGAAGGATGACGGACTGGGACGAGGAACCCGATGGCGTTTGACAGCTGTAGTTTATCTCATTGGGTTAAGACTCCTTCTAGTGAAACGGAGGCTTTGTAACACGTTGGAATTCTAATCCTTGGCTTTCGTTCAGAGAACCGGGAATGAAACCGAAGCGAGTTTACCTGCAGTGGTTGCAAACCTTTGCTGTCTAATCCTCAACTAGTTGGCATGGCTAATAATCTGTACATTAGGCAAGACCATACTGAAACCTGCTTGCGTGTTCTAAACCAAGATTTAAGAGTATTGTAACAAATCTATGTGGAATGATTGTGTAGTTTCTGTTTCTAGCCAGCATCAGTCCCCTCACTTTCTTCGACAGGAAACCAAATCAGCATTGGCTGGAAGGAGGGTGGAGTGAGGGTAGCGAGGCCACGAGTTTGGGTTGGTTATTTTTTCCAGCTTAGCTGGTGGAACAGATACCTCAGCACCCTGGAGGAGGAGAGTATCTGGTGCCCCAGCACAGCCCTGTGGCGAGGCATCAATGACAGAGGATGTTGAGAACAAGAAACACTTCACCACAGTGTGCCCGTATTCACCTTCGAGCGAGGAATGCCCAGGGGAAGTTTCCTGGGTCTGTGAGATCCTTCTGGAACCCGAGTGTGCGTTGCACTCGGTGGATTGGGATGTCACTTTTACTGAATTTTGTAGAGGTATTTTCTAAGTGTAAAAAGTATCTTTAGTTTGAAATTATGTAATCTTTGTAACACTGGCTAATGTAGCTTTACAACCATCGGCTTCAACACTGTGTAGGACCGAACAAAAGGGCACCGTGGGGTTTGGTAGCCAGAGGTTTCTCTATTGATCCTGGAGCCCGTTCAGCTCCAGGCTGTCCCAGCCTGCTATGTGATGCATGGGTCATTTTTCTCTTGTGTGCCAAGTTGGATGGTCGACTGTAAGGATACTTCATGTCTATCCACGTACTAAGTACTTCCTGTTACTTCATTTTAATTTATTCTCTCCAATCTGTAGCTCTCCAGCTCTCATGCTACACTGATTTTTCCTGCGAGTCGAGTTAGCAGCAGTTTTTTCGTTTGGTTGGTTTGGCTTGTTGTTTTGGTTTCTTTCTTGTAGGACAAGCAGATTCCTGCTCCGACATCGGATTTAACATGTGGGATTGGTCCAGCAGATCTAGATGCTCCCGTCAAGACAATAGGCAGCACAACATCCCTCCTGACAAACGAGGCCGGTTGTGCATCCTAGAGTGTTGAGAACGTGCGTGTCGTGACAGTCGTGGTACTTTTTCTACCATTGGGATGCACTTCAGGATGTTCAGCCACTTGGCCCGCTGGACTGGTTACCTGCTGGACTGTTTGACTTTTCTCCAGGTTACACTGAGGTGCTAACATGCTTAATTTTAATAAAGTATATTTTGTTTTCTTACGTTTCCCGTCTCCGTGTGGTGGGTGTATGCATTTCTGAAAGGCTGGCGGCTGTGGCTTCGTTTCTCTTTGTCATTCCTCGTGAACTCCACGGCTGGAGCAGCAGGAATATCTTTACACTCACGTAGGGTGAGAAAGAGGGGTCCGAGAGTAACAGCTCTAAACCGATCTGAACTTTGGGATGTGGAATTATCATTTCAAAGACAGCACATGCAAGCTCTCCCCTACCTTAGGCTGGTTCAGGGGAGGCTGTGCCTTCTCCTTCCTCCATCGTGCCTTAGACAGGAGGAAGCCCTGTGGGAAACCTCCAGTCTCCAAGAATTGTAAGCAGCAGAAAATTTCAGCTGCGCCTCAACCGTCACATTTTTTGGGTGGAACTGGGAATGTTGAATGAGACTGTGGGATGGGGAGGGAATTGTCCTGCTCTGCTCTGTGCTGGTATGGCCTCACCCAGGGGCAGATTTGGGCATCACAGTATGAGAAGGATAGAAAGCTTTTAGAGAGTGTCCAAAGGAGGAACATGAAGATGGTTAAGGGTCCAGAGGGGAATCCATGTGAGGAGTGTCTGAGAGCACTTGTTCAGCCTGGAGCGGACTGAGGGCAGACAGAGCTCACCATGAGGGGCAGCTCAGATCTCTGCTCTCTGTGACCAGTGACAGGATCTCAGGGATCGGGTGGAGCTGTGCAGAAGTTTAGGTTGGATATTGGGTAAAGGTTCTTCCCGCAGAGGGTGGTGGGGCACTGAACAGGGAAGTCACACAGCACCAACCCTGACAGAGCTCAAGGAGCATTTGGACAACGCTCTTGGGCACGGGGTGGGATTGTTGGGGCTGTCCTGTGCAGGGCCGGGAGCTGGACTGGGTGATCGCTGTGGTTGTGCTGCTGTTGCCCCCGGGAGGGTGATGGGTCCGGCGGGTCCGGGCGGGCAGGGCCGTGTGCGGCGGGGCGGGGGCCGCGCACAGCGGTGTCAGGATGGCCGAGCGGTCTAAGGCGCTGCGTTCAGGTCGCAGTCTCCCCTGGAGGCGTGGGTTCGAATCCCACTTCTGACAACTGGCTGCTCTTTTGCGCCGCGCTCGCGCCTTTCCCGTCCGTTAATTGCTTTTAATTGCGGCGCTTTCTTTATTTTTGATCCCGCCCCCCCAGCCAAAACGGGGCGGCGCAAAAGGAGCTGTCAGAAGTGGGATTCGAACCCACGCCTCCAGGGGAGACTGCGACCTGAACGCAGCGCCTTAGACCGCTCGGCCATCCTGACCTGCCGCGTTTTCCTCCTTCGGAACCGGATCCCATCAGACCCCCCCACACCGCGTTGGGACCGGGCGGGACCGGGTCCAGCCCTGGGAGACACCTCCAGTAACGACCTCCGTGACGACACCAAACGGGGAGGAGGGGATGATAGTCCAGAGGGTCCTGCTGCTACCCAGAGGGACCTGGACAGGCTGGAGGAATGGGCTGACAGGAACCTCCTGGAGCTGAGGGTGCTGAGCCCCTGGCACAGGCTGCCCGGAGAAGCTGTGGACGCCCCATCCCTGGAAGTGTCCAAGGCCACGCTTGAAAAAACCTGGTCTAGTGGAAGGGTCTAGCAGGCGGTTGAAACGAGCTGCCACAAGGTCACTTCCAACCCAAACCCGTCCAGGATTCATCAAGGAATACCGCGTGTCGCGCGGGGGGAGCAACGCCAGGCACCGGGACGCGCTGGGGGCCACGGAATGTCCCCGGGGCACCGAGCGGGACACGGGCCGCGCACAGGGCTCGTAGTGTCCCGGGACGGGAGGAGAGCGGGGGTGGGATGGGGTGAGGGGGGCTGTCCCGGCGGGGGCCGCCCTTTGTCGCCGGTCTCTCGGTGCGGGGACACGGCGGGGCCGGGCGGAGGCAGCGCCGCATCCCCGGGGAGGCGGGGCGGGGGCAGCGCGGGGCTCGGCCGGACCCGCCCGCGGAGGGGCCGTGCCGGGGCCGTGCCGGGGCCGTGCCGGTGCCCGCGGCATGGCGGGGCTGCCCGGTGCCGGTGCCACGCGCGCCCGGAGCGCCTCCCCGGGCACCCCCTCGGCCCTGGACGGCACCTTCCTGTGCTCGCCCCTCGGGGGGCTGATGGGCACCCAGGCCGTGAGTACCGGGGATGGGGCACGGCGGGAGCGGGGAGGGCATCACCCGCTTGGATGCTTTTCTTGGCAGCCCTGGCTGGAGGCAGCTCGGGCTCCCTTTGGCTGCCACCCCCACCCCGTCCCCGCTGCCCAGCCCTACCTCAATCCCTAACCCTGAGGCACCGCAGACCCCCTCTGGTCCTGCCCTCTGAGTAGCCGGAGGACAATTCAGCACCTCGGGTGCCACCTGAGAGCACGCGGGTGGGCGTTCGGCTTTGTGCAGGGCCACGTGTGACCCGTCCCGGGGTCTGCCCACGGTGCTGCCCCGCAGGTTTGCTCGTCCTCTGTCCTCGGGGCAGAGTTGGTAGGGCAGCAGTGGGATGTGCCCTGAGCAGCCACTGTGAAAACAGCTGTCATGGACCTGGCTCCTGGCTCCAGATTCCAACCCCTGGGCATGGCTGAGCTGGTTGTGACACGAGAACAAACACTCAGGGAAGGGGGTGGGAAGGATGCTGCAGGGGAGGCCTTCCAGGAGCATCAGGAAAGAGGGATGGGACCAAGACCAACAACCCTGCAGCTGGTCCCACCTCTCCAGCCCCTTGCTCGGGCCATACCATCAAACACACTCGCCCATCCACTGAGTCCCGCTGTTCCCCAAATCCTCTCCCCTGAGGGCTCCTGCTTTTCTCCCCCAGCAGCTGGAGCAGGGCAGCTCACACATGCCACCTCCCACTCCCGCAGGAGCCCCCTATGCATGTTTCTGCCCAGCACATATTTTGTGATCACGAGTGTTAGAAATGGACGTGAGGGACAAGGAGGCATTGTCGGGGCAGCCGAGCGCCAGGGCGTTGTACTCGGGCAGGACAAAGGCTGTTGTGTTTCTGCCATGACAATAAGCAGGGCTGGTTTGTGCAGGGGCAGAGCGGGCTCCCCGGAGAGCCCTTCTGCTCCCCTGCCCTCCTGGAGCGAGGGGGACTCACCTGCTGTGGGTGCTGGTGATCCCAGGCTGGTGTTCCACCTGCAGGACCCAGCCCCTGAACACCTCCCCTGTCTCACCCCACAGGTGCTGGGTTTGCTGGTGTGGTCTCTCATCGCCGCCACGACGTACCACCTGCACGCGGCCTACGGCTGGGTGATGTTCGTGGCGCTCTTCTGCTGGATACTAACGCTCCTTTTCTTCATGACTTACCTCCTGCAGCTTCAGCTGAAGTTTTACGTGATCCCCTGGCCCCTCGTGGTGCGTAGCTGAGAGGGAATGAGGGAGGGCCCCAAATAAATGAGGAGATAGTCTGAGAGGACCAAACCTTCAAGCACTCCTGGGCTGACGGAACAAAATCCCCTGCACTTTGCACAATGATGTTGTTCCACTGTGGTCCTCAATCGCTTAGTGAATACTCAAAATGCAGAGTCCTGTGTCAATCCAGAGAGTTAAAGCCAGGTTTTGGTGTTACTGCTGGTGTCAAGCAGAAACGTCTCAGCACATGATGTGACATTAACCCGGCATTTGTTCCCAGTGTGAGGGGCTGGACCCTTTTCCTCTGGTTCTCCTGGGAAATAGGAGGGAATGCAAAACTGAGCCTTTTGCTCACCCCCTCATCCCAGCATGCATGAGCCTGAGCCCAGACCTCACCAACTCCCCTCTGCCTCCCCCAGCTGATGATCTTCAACGCCGTGGCCACCGTCCTGTACATCACCGCCTTCGTCACGTGCGCGGCCGCCGTGCAGCCGACGTCCTGGCGGCAGTGGGATTACAACCGGAGAGCCGCGGCCTCCGTGAGTACCAGTGGGCAGGGGAGGGCTGAGGGGCTGGGGCAGCCACTGTGGTCACACAGGGTGGGGGCTGTTCTCCTCTTCCAGTTCTTCGCCTGTGTCACCATGATCATCTACGGGGTGAGCACCTTCTTCAGCTTCCGCGCCTGGAAAGGGCTCGGCAGCAACGCGGCCACCAGCCAAGTGACTGACCATGCGTAAGGAGGGGACAGCAGAGCCACCCACGGGCCGCCCCGCCGGCTCGTGCCAGGCTCGGTGGCTCGGAGGCCTCGTGTGCCACTGGGGCTGGCTTTGGGAGCAGCCCGTGCTGGCAGCAGCGCTCAGCACTGGGGCACGTGGACGCTGCTCTGCAGTTTCTGATGATGCTTCCAGCTGACGTGCCCACGGCACCACCCGGCGTCATCACCCACGGCCTGGCCGGAGAACACGGACTCGCTGGAGGCTGCGGCTCCTGCTCAGCCCTGAGGGTCACCTGGGCCCTTGCTGGAGCAGCTCCACTGAGGGGGCTCAGCCAACGCTGCACGCTGCGATACTAAAATCCACTAAACCAAGCCCAGGCTTCCCCCTCTGCTCATTCACAGCTACAGAGTAAGTAATTGCAATTAACGGGATGCAGAAACGGTGGCAGAGCTGGAAGGTGGAGGTGAAGCGAAGGAAGGAGTCCTATAACTGCACTTTGTTGATTTCTAACAGTTTGAATACAGATTTTATGCTTTAAATAAAAACGTTCCTAAATCGAGCGCTGGAGTCTGTCACGAGAAAGTTTGTCTTGCGAGAAGGGGGCAGGCAGAGCATGGCAGGGACAGCAGGGATGTCACTGCAGAGGTGACTGTCCCTCCCCACCCCACGTGGGCTTTATACCCGGCAATGGAAGGGATAATAAGCCCACAGGGATTTAAGAACACACTCAGAGCTGCATCCAAACCAGAGGAACACAAAGGAGGTGCCACGGCTTTGATCACTCCCTGCTCCCCACTCAGCACCACACCCCCCTCAGAGTTCACCTCATTCACCGGCGGGTCAGTTCTGCCCGATAGCTGCAGGTGGTTTTTAAACATTAAAACCAAGCCTGCAAAAGCTCTGGGAACACTGGCAGGATCAGCACCTCGGGAGAGCACAGAACCACTGCTCCCCCCGTGCTGCAGACCACAAATTCACCTCCTGGGTGTTCGCCAGAAGAGATGCTCAGCCAGGCAGAGCAGCTTTTCCTTTCCCACCCTCCTTGTACAAGCTAATAAAAATAGATTAAATGATTCCAAAGCTGGTGCATGGAGAGCTACACTGCAGAATTTACAGCATGCTCTGCACGGGAGCAGTTCCACAGGGCTGTCTGCAGGGGCAGCCCCGGGAAATGGGACTGCTCTGAGGGAAGGTGAGCACTGCAAAGGAACTGGACACACAGCACTGGCCCCTGACAGATCTGCCTTTATTTGGTTGTCAGTGAGTAAATCACGGGTCAGGTTTCCACAACTACGACTATATAGATATATATATATATATAAAATCAGGAAGAGGAAGAAAATTAATAAAAAAAATCAAAGTAATAAAAATCAACATGGTGGGTCACTACCAAAATCAACAGAACAGGTCTAAATAGGAAGTTTACTTACACAGTGTTAAAAGGCACCAGTCTCAGCTTTCCAAACCCAAACCCTGACACATTCCAAGTGTACAGAGCATTTCTCCAGACTCAACTACATCACCAGGCAACTGAGGCTGCAGGATCTGCATCTCTCCAGGAAGGATGTGACCAAAAAGATTATGTGCTGTTCTTACAAAGCAGGCAATGGCCAACCAACAGGAATTCTGCCTTGGCATCTTGCCAACTACTTCCCTGCACCCCCTGATTTCTCAGTTAAAACCATGGTCCTGATAATTTCACACCAGGCCAGGCTGGGTGGGTTTGAGCAAGCTGCTCTAGTGGAAGGTGTCCCTGCCCACGGCAGGGGGTTGGAACGAGGTGATCTCCAGTGAAGCAGTGCTGCTGCAGAAACAGAGAGAATAAACTGTTCCCCGTGTTCAGCTGAGACAGGACAAAGAACAATGAGCTGGAGCTGCAGCTCAGGCACTTTTCTATCAGACTGCAAGAGGCTGCCAGCAGCAGCAACAGCTGGGCACTGCTCCAGACTGCCCAGACAAACCAGGGCGGCTTTGAAGAAAATCCTGGCAGACACGATAGGAGAAGTTTGGGCAGAGCTGGGAAGGGAAGGCTCCACCTCTCACAGTCTCATCCACCACCTTGTACAAGGGCATCAAACTCCCAGAAAGCTGATTTGACCCCCCCTGGATAAGGGCCCTTGGTCCCTGCCCTACCCACCATGCACCCACTGCCCTCAGGGCGGAGCTGAGCCCCCTCCAGCCTCTCTTGGGAATCTCTCCTGGGAATCTCTCTTGGGAATCTCTGCCTTCCACTTCTGAGACCAGAATAGACCTTGCTTAAAATACAACAGAACTCCCTTCAGAATGACTTGTTTAATGGTTTAATGAAGTCACCACTAACGCACTGCTTAAGTCCAGACTTCGACCTTCTTTTTCCTAGAAAGGAAGAAAAAGAAATCTGTGACTGGAATAAGCAGTTCAAAAAATGGAACAGGCAATACATACTCTGTTTGTTGCAGCAAATCAATATAAAATTACATTTTATTTGAACATCTGTCATTGAATGTGAATCCAAAAAGACTGTGCAGGAATCCTTAGGGTAAGGGGGAAAACCTCATCCAAAAACCTTTAATACTTTTATTTCTCCAAACTGCACAGGGAGGAGGAGAAAAGAAATTAAATAGGCTTAAAAAGCTAATTTTTGGATATAATGAGGATGAAAAGAAAAATAAAAACACCCCTATTACAGAGTCAGAATGATCAAGGTGGGAAGGGATCTCTGGAGTTCATCCAGTCCAAACCCCATGCTCAAGCAGGGTCACTCAGACCCATGTCCAGAGAGCTGTGGAATATTTCTAAGGATGGAGACTCCACAACCTCCCTAAGCAAGGTGTGCCAGTGCTTGGAGACCTTCACAGTGAACCTTCTGTTCAGTTGGAAATCATTGTTCAAAGATGCAGCAAGTGTGTGTTTCTGGAGAACTGCTCATTCGTGTTATCTAAAAATTATCAAATGTGCAGTTTGAGCTTTAAAAAGACACTCAGTGAAGTCATTTTGCTTTTGACTCTGGTACAGCCTTTGATTTGTAGCAGCTTTACCTTTGGTACTCCCAGGGGGAGCTACACAGAACCAACAGCTACTGTGGTAGTGAAAATACTCACAGCTCTGTATTCCAAGAACATCTCTTTGAAAGCCAGGAAGTCCGTAAATGTGAGAAGCAGATCAAATATATCACCTGGCATTTCATCTTTGCGTTGTCTACAGAGAGGAAAAGTTGGGGTGGGGGTGAGAAAACTCCGTGAGAACAATTCTTTATTTTAAAACAGCACGAGGTCAAAAGGGACAAGTAGAACAATATCACTATTTAAACAATAATGTTATTGCAGGTGTATCATAAAGCAAAACTGTGGTCAATGATTACCATGCAGTACTTCCAATCCAAGAACGTTATTGTATTTATCTAAATCCAAGACCTAAGAGTATCATATCAGCCCTTGAAAACCAGACCTGTAAGTCAACAGAAGTAACACTCAACAGCATTTCTCTGTTTATTTACCTCGAGCACTGGAACTGCCAGACAGTCCCTTGAAAGGTGAGAAAAGTTTGGGGAGAGGCACAAATGCCCATCCACAGTCCTAAAGAACCACTAGTGACAAACCTTGGTAGAGGATGAAAACATTTTGGAAGAAAGGCTCTGAGCTCCCCTGTCAGCAAATTTCAACAAGACTTTTCTAGCAGTCAAGGGTTGGGGTTTTTTTTCTGGTTTGGTTGGGGTTTTTTTCCTGGTTTTGTTTTATTATTTCTTAAAAAAAAAAGTCCTTCAAAAGGACCTTTACCTTAAAGAGCCTGTTCTCTAAGTGCACTACGTGCACCCAGAGTAACTTTCCCAATGTCTTATTTAAGAAACATTAAAACTTAAACTGATTCAAGTGTTTTAAGACACTCAGGTCCCAATTACACTCGATTTTCTAATTCAAGGGGCACACCAGTGATCTTTCAAAAGGAAAGATCATGAAGCTGGTTAAGCTGAAGTGAGCAAATGCAAAAGCTGAACACAAACCAAAGTCTTCTCTGAACAAGAATTGCAATAAAGGAATTTCATCACATGATTCTGAAATACCACCAGGCTACTGAGGTGCCTGGAAAAGATACACCAGACCCAGCATTTTAAGGGTTTGGCTTCAAAGTGACAAGAAGGATGAAAATCCTCCAGTGTTCTCATTCTGATGTCTCTTCCTACCCCTCAGAACCCAATATATTTCAGCATCATAATTCTGATAGAGTAGCAGGACATGCTGAAGGCGGGAAAAATGGCCAGTCATTGCCTTCACGAAGACTTATTTTTTTAAATGAAAGAGGAACCATTCTCTGAAGGGAGAATTCTCAAAACTAAGTTTTAATCTAGATTAAAAAAACCTGAGAGGCACATAAGCCACCCCCCCAGCCAAAAGCAAAGCAAAGACTCACTGCAACGACACCGTGAAAGCAACCATATCAAACCCCCGAATGCGATCGAGCAGCTTCTCTTCAATGTATTTCTCTACTAAAGAGATCTGGAAACAAACAAACAAACAAACCAACCAACCTTGTTGGTGAGAACAAACACTGACTATCTGCATCCAGTAGCAAACTGTTTTTAACTACTCATTTAATGGTGCTGACAAGTAGACTGGTCTAGTTTCTTAATTGTGCTTTGCATGAAGAGCATGATTGAAGTGTTCAAGACAGGAAATGATACAACTGGGAAAGGAGAAACTTTGTTTGCACACGTCAAACACATCACTTACTACAGCAATAGGCTAAGTTTCTATTCAAGAGTTACACAACTTCCAAAAACATCTCTAGAAAACAAGGAGAAAGGAGCCTAAAGCTCCAGAAAACACCCTTCTTGTTCACAGATCGTGGCTGTGCTTCTGAAGGAGACAGCAGGCACAGTGTGGGATCTGCTCCATGGAAGCCCAGTATTTTATCTGGGGGGGGACACGACTAAATAAACAAAAAAAAGCAGCACATATGAAAAATAGGAAAAGGTGTCTTACATATTCATTAAAAATGTCAGTATAGATGAGCTTATTTTCTTCTGAGTCATCAAACTCCTGGTAGTGCTTCTCCAGAAAAGACCTCTGTATTAACTGGAAATCATCATCTGGGCCACAACAAAAAAATGCATCATGCAGTTACGAGTTTGGTCATTCCCTCTGAAACACAAACCCCACATTCACTGCCCCTCTGCTTCCCTGCTGTGAGCACAGAGCCCTGCACACGTGCAGAGCCCGTCACAGCAGCACTGCAGCTGCTGCTGGGCCACCACCTCTGCCCCATCTGTGAGAGCAAATCAGTCCTCCTGCTCTGTGTTTATTAATAAAGTTGTTTATTCTGAACCCCTTTTTCGTTCTGGCTCTCAAGCCAGCGAAACACTTGTACTTTTTTATTAAGTGAATACCTCTTCCCTACAAGAATTCAAAGTTGTTTTTTTTTTTTCCCTTGAAATTAAAAATATTAGTGAAAATCACAGATGAAATTTCAATTGATGAAGATTTTTTTTTTCTAATTGTGGAAGGAAACAGGAATAAAAATGAACTTTTACTGCATAAGGCCAGGCTGGATGGGTTTGAGCAACCTGGTCTAGTGGAAGATGTCCCTGCCCATGGCAGGGGCTTGGAACTGAATGATCTGTAAGGTTCCTTCCAACCCAATCTGTGATTCTCATGACTATCTTTGTATTTTGAGGTGGGTTGCAGTATGTTTAGCACCCATGTCATTGTCTGTAACTACTTGCAGCCCTTACCCATGATGATATCTTCCAGATAGCCAACAACTATATCAAACTCCTCGTGAGAAGGGGTGGAGCTGAAAGCAAAGAAAGACAAGATAAATACGTGTTTCGACCGCAGCAGAGGTTAAAGTTAAAATTAAAAAGTGGTAACGAAAGCCTAAGCACAAATAAACCCGGTGATTACAAGGTAAGTGAATAACTTCCTAGTTTCAACCTACAAAATAATCCATGACACTGATGAGAAGACTGCTCCATGGAGATTCTCATCAGGCCTCTACTCTAGTTCCTCCCAATAAGGTGCCTAATTGAAAAAAAGAATAAATGTTGTTTTACTGGCATTACTGTCAAGGCAATTCTAGTTCTGGTGCAGAAGGATGTAAAGAGTGTAATTAGAACAGCAAATCAAGCCTTTTCCAACCCACAAATCCCAGCTGCTACCACAATTTTCCTTATGTTCTCTTCCCTGCATTAACTGTACGTGGTGATCACAGAGCTCTACGCACTCAAGAGAATATTCTGAAATACCTGGTCTTATGGAACCACTTAAACTGAAATGCATACAAAAGTTTTACAGAATTGAAGAAAATTAAATATTTTTCTCAAGCAAGAAACATCCTTATGTGCTCCAAATAAATGGCACAATCTCCTAAAGTTATTCTAATATAAGTAAGTATTAAACACCATTATGGATCTGAAGTCATCCAGGAAAGAAACCTCTGGTACCAACACCAGGACACTGGATCCCTCTGCTAAATCTATTATTGTGCAGCTTGTTCTGACACAGTAACCAGATCTCTCTGGTATTCACAGTTCATCTTTAGTGGGGGATGAACTCTTCCTATGTTCTCCAGAAGATGAAAGATAAGCTTTTCTCCCACATGAGGAAAACAAGTCTAAAGGAAAAAATTAGCCTCGATCAGCAAAAGCACCGTTTAAATTCAATTAAATGTCTCTTTCAAATGTCTCTTCAGCAAACAGAGCAGAACAGCCCTTCAGACTAAGTTTTCAAAAGCTCATTATTTTGGTATTAGATAACACTCCAGTGAAATTAATCCAACAGCAGTTTACCTGTAATGAGCCACTGGGCTCACTCTGACCGGGAGAAATTAAAGAGAGATTTCATTTAAAAGGGCGTCTGATCACCCAGCGGTGTCCCAGCAACATTCCTGATCTGTGAGGCGGATCCGAGAGACGAGGGAAGCCACGGCAAGGCCTGGAAGAGCCCAGGAGAGGGCGGCACAGGGCCGGGAGAGGGGCTGGCACGGCCCGGGCCGAGGGGACTCACCTGGGCACCCCACCCGGGCTGCGGGTTATGGGCTCGGCGCTCCCCTTGGCACGCAAGGGCAAGAGACTTTGCTGTGGATAATCCCCACCATTTTTTTCTCCCTCCAAATAAATGCCACTACTAGTTTTATCCTAACAGCAACAGGAAAAGTGTGGATTTAATCCTTGTTTAAGTCTGTAAGGCAGGGAATGGAATTTTATCTGCTCCAAGAAGACACTTATTCCATCTGTCCATACAACACACGTACACCCTGCAGGGACACAGGATCAGCAATCCTGTGGTTTAAACCCCTGCCACCTCGTAATGCCAAACAACAGCATCTAGACCAGCATTTCCCAGTGTGAAATTTGGTTGAGGACACCTGAGGTAAAAGGTCTCAGGTTTTATAAGGAGCACACCCAAACACAAAGGAGCAGTCTCTCCTCAGAATCCGCGACAAGAGATGACAAAACGCTCGTGAAAAGGAGAAATTTTGGATTCCAAATCAACAGCAAAAAAATAATTTCCAGCCTTACAGCGCTTGTTTTGTTCCCTCAGCCAGGGCTGCCTGGTGCTACGCTGACAGCAGTGATATTTAGTCTGACTTCACCTAAACTCTGCACTGATGTTATTCCCCCCTGAAGCTTTGCATTCCTCACCTTTGTTCTCCTAAGAGGCAGAATCTGCTAAGCAGCGTGGTGTAAATTCACTCGTCTAATTAGATTCCTATTAAGATATTTTTAATTAGCAATTAGCTTCTTGAAAATCTGACACAGAACGTTGCATACTCACGTGGCTACACCCAAGTTTTCTCCATCAGCAGTCTCCATTGTTCCTGCCTAACCAGACTGGAAGAGACAATCTGTAAGTTGCTGCTCTTAGTGGTTACTTCTTCTTTTTGGACAAAGTGCTAAGGAATAACATGTGGCTTTGCATTAATACAAATTCAGCTGTTAAACTACCATCCACTTCCCAAACAGCAGGTGAGAATTTTTAATTATTAAACACAGGAATTCCGAAATCTTGTCCTTCTAAAGTTAAGGCTACTTCTTTTCTGTAATAACCCAAATTCTCTGGGGACTTTCTCTGCCTACCCAGAGAACAGGCTCAAACCTGCACACCCCTGCAGTCAGCCCCTGTAAAGGGGTTTTGGGTCACCTCTGCACGTTTTCTGCCGAGACATCTGACTATTACAGCAACGCAGCCAGGTGAGGTGAAGATGCTCCCCTGCTGCAGAGCGTCCCAGACCAGCGATCCGCGGGGCTCTGACCAGGGCCGGGCCGTGTCCCCCCGTGCCCTCGGCTGTGGGCAGGGGGTGATGCCTCCCCCGGGACAGGGCACAGAGCGCCCGGTACCGGGGACCATGGGGACCCCCCGCTCCCGCCGGCCCCCGGAGCAGCCCCGGAGCATCGCCCCGAGCACGGCGGGAGGGACCAGCGCGTCCCTCGCCTCCCCCTCCTCAGTCCCGGCTCTTGGGGAGGGGCGAAGCACCCCTGCCCTGGCCCCCGCCTCACCCCCCGCTCCAAGGCACCCAGACGTGCGGGCCGCCACCCTCCCTCTCCAGAAACCCACCCGCCCGTGTCAAACCCCCCGTTCTGAGACCCACGGCCCCGTGCCAGCCCTCCCGTTCCCGCCTCAGCTCCCGCCTTCCCCCCCGCCCCGCCGTCCCCCTGCACCCACCGCCCTCACGGCCGGCGCGGCGCCCCCTCCCCTCGCGCCGTCTCCCGGGGAACGCGCCCTTCCGCCCCGCCCGCAGCCAATGGCGGCGCTGCCCCGCCGTGCAGGACCCGCCCCCGGCCCGCCGCCATGGCGGGCTGCGAGCGCGTCCTGAGGGGGGCACGGCCAGAGAACACACAACGCTGTTAATTGTTAAATTAACACGCTAGGATAAGCCGGGTCGCCCCGCGCAGGGACAGCCCGCGACCCCTCCCGCCCTGACCTGAGCCCTCCACCGGCACCGGTGTCCACGCCGGCCGTGCCCTTCCCCCCCACTCCCCTCAGGAGCGAGCTCCTGCTGCCCCCGGCCCCGAAACACCGAACACAGCTCTCAACAGAAGGAACTAAAGAACAACAAGCAGCCTTCAAGATTTTTTTTTTTATTGTTGAATGGACAACTTCGCTACAGTTCGTTCCCCCTTCTGAGGGCCTGCGGAGTGGCCGCCTCCCCTGCCCGTCCCCAGGGCGTGAGGGGGACGCTGCCCCGCTCGTGGAGTATCGACAAAAGATCTTGACAAAAGATGCTCCCCCCTCGGCGTGGGTGGCGGCAGAAAGCCAGTCAAAAGTGTACAGCCTTTCCCTTCGTGAAATGAACAGGACAGTTCTTCTCTGCAACACAGCTCCCCCCCTCCTCTGCCACCGTCGGCTTCCTCTGCCCAGCACCAGCTGCACGGAAGACGGTCTGGGGCAAAATTTTCAAAGCATTAACATCTTTTCGATAAACGCAGGCACTTAGTCCCGGGTCCACAAAGGCAGCGAGGCTCTAAGGCCACCCCCCCTTTCGAGGGGACAGCAGATGCCTCGAAGCCATTGTGGACCTGGGCCTTAAGAGCTTAATCTCATACAGCAGTTGATACGAATTAGGAGTCCTAGGCACTTCTGAAAATTTTACCTCAGTTAATCCTGGCCAGGGAAACCAAAGCCCTGAAGTTACTAGAATCTATTAAGGCAGAGTTCAAAATGGTTCTGTCCCACCTCTCCCCTAAAGTACACAGTTTGTGTCTTTGTACTTTAGGGGTAAAAATTCCAATCATTGCATTTGGAAGCACTTGAAGTGATTCTGGAATTCTGACACCCTCGTGGCAGTGATGGTGGTCACGTTTGCTCACTGAGCACAGAGCAGGAAGGGACTCAGCCCTGACTGGACACGTGGATTTACAGCAAAACATTGCAAAGTACAGTCAGTGAGGAAATGAGGTCCCCGTGGCAGATCTGCCAGTCTGACTTGATTCAAACCTTCCATCCTAGGTGGAAGAGAATTCACATTTTAGCAAAAACACTAACCGGCACACACCACTTCTGGATTCAGTCTGTATTTGGACAAAAGTCAACAAGGAAACGATGGACAGAACTTTCCTAATTCACACATCTCTGGATGAAGTTCAGCACCCTTGAGTTAGCAAAGGCAGAAGGTGAAAGGAGTTGCTAGAGAGCTGGATCCCGTGACCTGTGTGCAGAGCTCAGGTCAGTAGGAAGCCAGAATGCTCAGCAGGAAGAAGCCTCAGCTCTGCTTTGTTAATATTTGATAGTACAATAAAAGATAATAAACGACTTTAAAAATAAGCTACATCGCAGCATGGGAATTCACAACAGCCTCTGCTATTGAATCGCTGCCAAGAAGTGGGATGGTTTTGGTGTGAGTTGTGTGTGAATTAGTAAAGTTCCACTTCACAGACAGACAATTTAAAAAAAAAAAAAAAATCAAACTGTGCAAGTCTTGGAAGAGATGGAGTTGTATCCTCAGTTGGTGCAAAGTAAGCAGAACTCCACTGATTTTTGTGCTACTTCACTGACCCCAGCTGTGAACCCTGATTCCTTGGAGAAACCTAGTAAACCAGTCAAGAGCTGCCTGCTGAAATGCATCCTTAACATACAAACATCACAAATGTGTAATTAAAGTGGAGCAGAGTTTCCCACTGTATGATCCCTACCAAAAATAAGAAGTGTGGCCCCAAACCTGCTCAGAGCAGGACTGACACATGGCAAGCAAGGTGCATTTTTAAGGAGTTACAGAATAAGACTGAAATTGGTACCCAAATAACCTTTTTTAAATAAACTGGCCCAAAATTATCCTCTAATATTTTAAGATAGCTCAATTTTTCCAAAGTGAATATAACTTTCAAAAACAACACTGATTAAAAAAGATGTTCAATGATACCTTAAAAAATACCCAGAATATCAAATTAATTCCAGTCCAGCATTATAATTAGTTTAAGAATACCTCCTGAAAATTATAACCTCACAAAAAAACGTGGGTACTGAAGTTAAAAGCATCAGAAACATTATGTACTTGAAAATACCACCGATCTCTTAACATTTAAAAACAAATCAGAACATTCTTTGGAATCACCAAGTTATTAAAACCTGTGAGTTTCTCTACAGTCTCCACACTGTCTTTTCAAATCAGTCTGTGTACAGATTCAGTCTCTGAGCAGTTCAATATCCACTGTTGGAAAACACAGAGTCTCTGACCAGCAGGAGGCTACATTAAACAGGAAAACATTGGCATTCTCTTTTCAGTACTGACTTCTGCCAAAAATAGAGACTTTTCGAGCACAAGACAGCACGGCCCTGTTTTGGGAGACACTGATTTTCTCTTCTTGTCTAAAATGCATTGTACGTGTAACTTCCAGTGCAAAATTTTTTCAGCACTTGCGACAGGCGAGAAGGAAAGGGGGAAGGAGGGACACTCCCCTCTGCTCTTCAGAGGAACCAACAGCCACAGCACGCTGACCTAGCAGCTCTCCTTACTGCTGCAACCAGCTCCCATTGCTGGCAAGCTGGAGATAGCTTATTAAAGATCTCATTTTTAAGATAAACAGATTAACAGGTTAGCATGAAATCTGGCCGTGGCTATGGTTCTATGTGCATAAAGATTGGGTAGAGATGCTTTCCCCTTTCAGTACTGGTTGGTGTTCACTGCAAACAAGTCTGTGGTGTTTCTCCACGTGTGTCATGAAATGTGAGAGATCTGTCTGACTCGGGTTTGTATTTCCTGTCGGCACAAAGGGCAGGTCTCCAGTTGCAAGGCACACTCCATGCACAGGTCACTGGAGGAGAAGAAAAAGAGAGTCAGTTAAAGCCTGCACTTACAGCATGAACAACTAAAAGCACTAAGCAGTTCGGTCAGCCTGCCAGCGACACAGCCAAGTTAAGTCTTTCAGTGTAGAGAGTGGGTATTGCAAGTCAGGTGTTGAGGATCTGTGTGCAGGCTTTGAGAGCACCTGCCTGTTGTTCATTAATCTCAGCACTCACTCAGGTCTGCAGAGCAGCAGCCCCAGTGCCCTGCAGGAAGCTCCTCCACTTATTGTTGACACACACCTGTCACATCTCTTTTTAACCTTCCAGCATTTACACCCATGGTAACTCCTTCCATGAGTGCTCTGAAAACCCTAAGGAACTGGACTTAACTGGATTCATTTCCTGCTTGAAGGCAGGAAAGTGCTATTATGGCATAACTTGTACTGCTGCCTCATTTTTAGCTTTTAGAGGATTTTGCAACTTGAGACAATCCATTTGTCGAACATTCAAGGACTATTTGAGTGTATTCTGAATTTTCTCCTCTCCTCACGTGACCTGGATTTCACAGCATCTCTACCAAGCACTAATCAGAAGAGCCTTTGACACCAGGGAATTCAGACTTGGTAGCTCAGGGGTAGCACACACACACACTGTAGCCACATTCCTTCCCCAAACACACACACAATTAGGGATTCAATCTGCTCAGAGGGGTTGTTTTTGAAGGTTTTACCTGTGTCCACACGGCCTGAGTTCTGTGTCTGCTACCTCATCACAGCAAAGGGTGCAGCAGTTCTCTCGGATGCTCACTTGCTTCAACAGAGCCAGGCGCCTGTGTCTGAGGGGAGAGAGAGAAAAACACCCCTCAAACACATAAGTTTGAATCAAAGCAACCCCAACTCAAATAAACCTCACAAACCCATGTATCAAAACAATTCAGAAGACCTACAATGCTCTAACACAATTCAAAAGAATAAAAATTGAAAATAAAATCAACAGCCCAGTATGGCAACAGCCACGAGGGAGAGTAAACAGATAAAAATCCCCCATTTGATGAAATAAGACATTTCACATTTTAGTTGCACTGAATTCAGCACAACTCTACATGAATTTGTGTTAAATCCTGAGGTGGATAAATTAGGGTCAACTCATACAAGCCCTTGCCTTATTTCCTATCACTTCTAAGATGATCAGAGCTATCTTTTTTAGGACTGGCTACAACAAAAGTGTTCAACCTCGAATGGAGCCTTTCAGTGCTATCCCATATTAAACAGTCTGTAACACAGGAGGCCAGGTTTCACCAGTCAGGCATCAACAGGAAACCAGTTTCCCCCAGTTTGTTTCTCATCTTGTGGCCCAGTCGTGCAACAGCTCCCACAGGCAGCGTTTGAACACTGCAAGAGCAGTGCCAGAACGACATCAGCAACAACCACGTCTGATCAACAGCGAGAAACTGCCAAGCCCCCACCCAGCATGGAACATTTCATCTGAAAAGGGGGATGAACAAAATTGTACCAACTTTGCCAATGTGTGACTCCAATCCAGGGGTATTTTTTTTTTCCCTTTTCTTTTTAAACACCAAGATACTGAAGTACCTAAAGTGCACTTGACTGAAGAGCTTGGTAATTCAAAACCAGTCTCCAAATTTCCCTACAGCCAGGGGTACCCCCTCCAGCAGCTCCCACTTGAATTAGTTGCAACCTAAGATTATTTCAACCAACACACATCAGCACCAGTCCAAGGGCCATCTTCAGACAGGAAACCCAGGGTACACCATATCCCCGATTACACTGAATACTTTTACTGTTTTGTGTTCCAGGAAGTTATTTTATGACTAATAACTGAAACCAGACAAAACCCAGCGATTTATTAGTTTTCGTTCCTGCCAGAAATTCGTTAAAGAAAAATGTGCCCAAACCCATTTCTATCTGGCTTGGTTTATACTTAGATGGGAAAACAGTTCTAAATTTGAATGACCTTTGTCAGTACTACC